GGCTCCGGAGGCTGCTGCGCGCCATGCGGGCTGGCTGAGCGGCGCCGGCCGCTCCAACTTTCCCGGGGAAGGATGGCCTCCAATTTCAACGACATCGTGAAGCAGGGCTACGTGCGCATCCGGAGCAGGCGGCTGGGGGTGAGTGCTGGCCCCCTCCCGGGCTCGCCCGAGGGGCACCTGCCCTTTGGCTTTTTTTCTTTTTTTTTTCTTTTTTCTTCCCCTCCTTTGTCCTCGTCTTCTTGCAAACTGAGCTCAGTGGGTGTCTCCGCAGGGGAGACACGAAACAAAAAAATTGGGGGGAGGGGGAGAAGAATAAAGGCACCTAAATGCGCATATATATACAGATGCATTGTATACATACATATGTATATATATATTTATTTTTTCCTCTCTCCCGTTGGGAGATGGGGATGCTGCTTGCCGGGAAGGCTGCGCTTGCCTCCACCTCCCGGCTCTGCCCTTCATAGTGAGCTCCCCGGAGCGCCCGGAGCCGGGCAGCCGCCGCCAACTTTGGGCCGGGGCTGTGCGGCTGCCGCGAAAGGGAGCGCGGAGGACGCTGAGCACCGGCGAGGAGGGGGGTGGCCGGAGGAAGGCGGGGTTGGAGGTGCCGGTGCCCTCGGGGCTGAGGGTCCCGGGGTAACTTTGGGCAGGGATGAGGGCTGAGAGCGCTCTGTAGCTGCTGAAGTCCTGGGGTTCCTAGGAAGGGGCTGCTACAAGTCGGGGCTTTAAGGCCCTGAGTGGGACAGGTGAAGACCTGGTGATATATTTAGGGCTTTTAAGTTCATTGCATTTGAGTTGCACAAAGTGAAAATCCAAAAAGCCCCCTTTAGCTCCTTATTTAATTTTAAACTTATTTAAGTCTGTTCTTTTGCTATCATGGCATGTTCTTAGTTTCGGTTGTAGGCACTAGATAGGCAACAGTGGTGGGCCAGTTCCGTACAGTACCTTGGCTGGCATATGCTCTCTTAAAGCATGGTCTGACCCTACAGTTCATGGGCTGCTGCTACCTGCTCCCCTGAGCAAGCTACCAGAGCCGCTCCAGTAACGGGACTTGCATGCTCCACACCTCCTTACTGAGCCAACGTGGCTTAAGGGGGACGCAAACTGGAGGGAGGCTTTGTGTATGCTTTAATTGATGTCTCTGTCTCTCAGGACAGGAAAGTAATTGATTTCTTCTGTTTACTGAGAACTGATGGGTTGGCAATTCTGAATTGTTCATTGCGTGAGTTTTGCATCAAGATTTATTATGGGGGGGTGTGTGTGGTCATCTGAAAGCTTTTGCTGACTCATTACAATTATAGTTTCATTCTCTTGCTGTATCCGTGTTCAATGGCTTCTCTACAGTTTTAGTAACTTGCACCTCCCTGACTTGTTTGGAAACTGGAAAGCATTTTAAAGTATTCAGTAGGCATCTCTAAATGGAAGATGCTATTTTTCTTGTACCTGGACTTGCAGGCATAGCTCATTCTTTAAGAACCGCATGATTCTGTGACAGATGGAGATAACGTCATTATGAGAGAACTTGTAGTAAATTTGCCAGAATTAGTGTATCGTAACTATCCTTTCATTACTGAATGTATATTAGTATTCAGTTTGTTCCAGCATAAATGAAGAGTAAGATTAAACTTTTGACACACCTTTCCGTAACAGTGAAATCCAATGGGCATGTGAATAAGGCACATCTAACTCTGAGATAGGTGTAAATTCTGTTAATGCCTGTGCCTTTCCTTTATTAAGGCTTTTCAGAACACTTTGAAGGGGGGTGGTGGTGGTGGTGAGGAAGTGTTCAGTGCCCTCTCAGTAGAAGCGTGTTTGACAGCTGAATGCAAAAACAGAGAAAGACATGGAGAATGACACTGAGTCCATGGAAATGGAACGAATGCTAAATGCTTTTTTTGAAAAGGCGGTTTCTTTATTTGATCTCATTCCTTCTAATTCCAAAGGTTGGTATCGTTATCAATGGCTGGAAAGTGTGGAAGGGGTGATGGGAAGTGCTTTTGTGAAGAAGTCCAAGCAAAGTTCCAGAGAATTCCCACGGCCATAGATTTGTTAAAAAGAAGAGCCCTGAGTTTGTTGCCCTACGCTGCCCTTGGCTCTGGGCGTACTGTCCCAGCGGCTTTCCAGTGCTGTGGAAAGGGAAGCCAGTAGCTGCTGTGATCTGGCTGTCACTGCTTTAGGTCTGGTGACGGGGGCCTGTGCTATGTGGGAGAGGTGACCTATTCAAACCTTGCTGCTACGTTTGTTTGGAAAGAAGTAGTTTTATCAGTACTAATGCTTTTCTGTCCTTGTAGTTTTCAGTTTAGAGTACTGGCCCACTACTTAAGAACAGACGGTTGAAACATGGCTGCAGATTTCTTCCTGTAACTTGCATTTTCTATAAGCAGCTTAAAAGCCCAGTGCCCTGGCTTACAACACCCAAGTAGAAGCGGGTAATTATGATTAACCCGAGTTCTTTAAATGCAGGGCCAGCTTGTGTTGCTTGCGGCAGCAGTGTGACTGTCAGCACCCACTTCTCAGTACGCAGCCCCAGCTAAAACGTGTCCTTTCTCCTTTGTGCATTTTCCTCCTTGCTGCAGGTGCGTATGTGCACGGCTGGTGCTGAAGCTGGCTGAGCACCTGAGGCGGCCACCCGGCTTTAGGAAGAGCTTGAATTCAATCTTACTCAGTGGCTAATGGGAGCTTGGCTTCTTCAGAGGGGAAGGAACCATGCAAACAGCTTGTGTTCTGGTAGCTACGTTGTGGAGGGCTGTTGGACACCCAGGAGCTGGAGGTGGGAAGGGAAAAAAATACTTTAGACCTTAAAATACTAACTTTCGAAGAACTTTCCCATGCCCTGAAAACATTAGGAAGAACAAGCCTACTCCAGTCCCATATAGGACTCCTGTTTAATTGAGAGGGATTTCAATACTCCGTGTGTGGTGAGATGTAAGTGGGAGTTATTAAAATACATTCCAATACTATGGTGGCACAGCTGTAATCAGTGCATTGTCTTTTCAGACTGAATTCAGCTCCTGGGTTTTTCTCTCTAACACTATGGTAATTCCATCACCAAGGGAACTAGGAACAGAGCTTGTATCTACAAATTATCTCAAGACATGACTTTTTTGAATAACTGGGGTGCAGGTGCTAGATTTGGAAAGAAAGGGGTGCAGAGAAGCAGCTTGCTCAAAACCAGACCTCTTTTAAAAGAAAAATGACAATTCTGGTAGGCCCTACTTTGTAATTTCAAGATTGAATTTAGGCTAATTGGTTTTATACCTGGACTGTTTTTGCGCACTTTAAATATGTAAATTTAATTTAATATTATTTAATAGAATAGTTTCCATAGCAACATTTGTATCACATGTGTCTTCTGCAGAGCCAAATATATTCAGGAGAAAGCGCACTCTTCCTGATTCTTTCCATCCTTATAGGGAGAAAAATAATTCCCTCAGCCAATGGTCTCCCTCTGTTATGTCATTAGCAGTGACACCGATGAGGTTGTGTGCTAGAAAACTGCTGACAGTGTAAAAGCACAACCTTCCAGGGTTCCTTAAAACAAAAAAAAAATTAGCTTTGCTCTGTGAGCAGCGATGTGGTCCATCAGTGGTCCATCAGTGACCACTAGTGACCACTGGGCCTATGTTTTGGGAAAGAAGATGCTCTGTTGTGCCGAGTGCTTTTGCTTGCAAAAACTGATCTAAATAAGTGATTAAGCGCTTTATATAGATATCTGAAGCAGGGGAGTCGTTTTATGGCCTCTGTACCTAAAAATACTTTTTTGTGCTTATGATTTTCAAATAATGTCTTGTTCTGTGATACAGATGTGACCTTTCTGAGGGGGAATATATTAAGCAGATGTTTCCTCTCCTTAATGAAAAGGCCAGTTCTTGCATTTCCATTTTAAGGATGGGTGGATGTGCACTGCTTGTGAACACACTTGGGCCTTCATTGTAGGTTGGACTGGCTCAACTGAGTGTTCTAATAACAATTAAAAATCAAAACAGGAAGAAATCTTTGAAATAGAGGACGTTTGGTGAGCCTGAAGAGCTTTAAAAGGAAAGGGGCACTTGATAGTAGTCTTTGAGGTGCAGCCAGCCCACCTCTCCTCATGGGGTGGGAGGCTCCCAGCGGTGTGTGTTTGTTGCAGTCTAACACTTCTATTGAACTCCCTGTTGTTAAGGCTTAGCTTACCCTTCCTGCGTCCACACCTAAACTCAGGTTTGCTGGAAGCCACGTTTCAGTTTGAGCAAGGATTATGCGGCACAGAAGCTGCTCTAAGGATATCCTCTACTGCCATTGTCAAGGTGTAGGCAGAAATAAGTGCTGGAGGCTCAAAGTGAAGGCAGGTGATGTTCCTGAAGCCTGTTCCTCAGGGCACAGGCAGCAGTGTTGGGAGCGCTGATGGTGTGGCACCGGGAGGGTGCCGGCTGCCTTCCTGCACGCAGGGCTTTGAAGACAATGCTGTTCCCCTTGGAAGACCCTGCGGAGTTTGCAGGCATCTGGCCTGTCCCTGCCTCTTGATGTATGGGAGACTGCTGGAGCAAGATGCCATGGGGTTAGCTGTCAGCCCCTAGTTTCTGGTATGCCAGTAACACACTTGGAGTGTCTTGTTGCATTAAGTGATGAAGTACTGTTAGTGTCAGAGGGAAACAATCTCTTCGATGAACAGCAGCTGCCTTGAGCTGTTTGTAGCTAAAAGCAAAACAGTGCTGATCAAACAGAAGTGCCTCAGAGAACCAGCTGAGATGTGCCGGTGGAGAGCAGAGGTGTCTCTGTTAAGGAGTTGTACATATTCATAGCTATGCAAAGCCTTGTAGAGTCTGGCTTGGTTCTGCACAATACTTGATTGACTAGAAATCACTGGCTTCCAAAAACATTCTGTCTGGCTTGCCTGGAAACTAAGCACCTTCTTCCCGATAGAGGGTTTGGCTGTGGTGACTTACGTGTTGCTGCTTTCCAGGAGGGGTAGAATACCTTTCCGAACATACCTTAAGACAATACAACTATGACTGCACTCTTTCTCCCAAGCTTTGTCTACTATGAATGCATCTGGCTTGTGTGCAAGTATTTCCATTGTATCCCCATTTCTCAGATCGTATCACTTTCAAACTCATTAACAGAACAGGTACGTCAAAATGTGAGCTTCATTCTGTGTA